CGTTTGTTTATGCTTTTCCTACATTTTTATTACATGAAAATATAAAAATTGTGTGAGGATATTTTAAATATTGTTTACTTTTCGTACGTAAGTTTTTGGCAGTTTGCCGATGTGCTTAACCAACACAGAAACCAGAAACACAGAAACCAGAAACACAGAACTAAGGACGTGCACAGCACAGCACAGCACAACACAACACAACACAATGGAATATAATATGTAATATCCCATTTTGGCAGGCTTAAGAATTGTAAATATATTTTTTTAAATTTAAAAATTGGACTTCCAAACATTAAATATGCGCGCTTATAACACATTTGAGCACATCGAAAACATAAAATATTTAAATTACTTCACATATAAAATTCTTTTTAATAATATAAGCAAATTAATCTCTGTCAGTGCTCATAAAGAGATGAAGCTACGTAACAAAGTTTCAAAGAACTCTTGTCCAAACATACCACACATCACACATCCGTATGTGTTGACATTTGACAGGGAAGCCAATGAATTTGCTTGACTTATGCACACGGAGCATTTGATTTTCCACAAATATCAATTTTCCCAATTGTCAATCTGAGATACTTGCTTTGATAAATCGTATTAGGAAGCATTATTGATATGCTGTTGGGGAGTTATGGAAATACTGTTTACTTTTTCCGATGTGTGTTTATTCATTAGATTATTGTTTTATGATTATACGATTGCTCATGTAGTTTGCCGGGACTCAGTTGAATTTAAACTGTTTGACACATTTCAAAGTTATAATAGTCAATTTGGTCTGCAGTAGCTTTAAAACAGAAAATTAAACTTTTCAATGCTATAATTAGAAACTGGCACATCTAAATTAATTTGGCACATGACAAGAAGTATTTGTTGTAGAAGATACAGGTAGTTATTGATTCTTTAATTGGAAACCAGAACATTAATTGGAAACCAGGGAACATGTAAACTACACTGATTCGAAGTGGTTCATTTCGTTGTTTGAGACTCTGTAACATCTATTTAGTTCAAAAATCGATTTATCTAACCATCACCTTTGGATCCCAATTTACAAAGCTAGCGGTTTAATTTGGTATTTGGTTTCATTGCACTAAAATGTCGAAGATCTGTGTATAAAACCAGTACGATTTTAACACCGCTAACAAGCAGTCTAAATATTGAATGGAGGCCATATGACAGTTACCCACATTAATCAGTGAGTTTAAACCGAAACTGCAAAAAATATGAAAAATGGAAGCTTTCGCGAATAATTTGTACAATCTTAGTAAAAGAAAATAAGTATCCTTTCATCAAGGAACATCTTTTCATAAACTATGAGATCCAAAGTTTTAAATTTAACTTTTCACTTCAGACTATGAATTGCCATAACACTCAAAATTTAGTTGAAACGAACTGTTCTTTTTGTTTGTCAGTGATATTTTTATTCCCTTAAATATTCAATGATATATAATGAAAGTCGAACTTAACAAACTAAAGTTGCCATGTCACATATTTCTTATATGTATTAATATAATAATAAAAATACTTATACACTTATACTATACTACATACTATACTACATACTATACTAGATACGATATACAACTATAATAGGTAAGTATTACTGCATCAAAGTGTTGCTGTTCGTGTGATGCTTTGATATTCTACCTTCAAAATGATCCTTCGGGTCCAGTATACGGACAGTGTCTCAGTCGTAATTTCAAAAGGAGCTATTATTTATGCTCAAATTTCCTTTGATACATAAATCCGGCTCTCCAACCTAACCTAATCTAAATGCCAATAAAATGTTAGTGTATCTCTAAAATATTCTCATTGGCTTAATATATAAATATAAAAATGTAGTATAGTTTCTCAAAATTTTTGCAATTTCACATTATTCAAAATCTACTTTATTCATCAAATTCAAAAACTTTTTTGAAAACGGGGATACGTGTTATGTTCCCTATAGCGTAAAGTACTTAAGGACTCAATTTTTACTATAAATTAAACTGTTATTTTAACGCCAGTTGAGCTAAATACTTATATTGAAATGCAGTTGAACGGTGCTGAATACAATACTTATCGAAGTGGAGTAGTTATAGTTCTTCTCATCCTAATCACCATTCTTAGCTTTTACAAGACAATGTATACAGTTAGAGCTTCATTTTACCCTATTTTCCATTTATTCTTGAAGCTTACTATGCCTTTCAGTAATAAAACTCTTTTCATGAAGTTTTGAAAATATATTTCATAAAATTAAAAAAAAAAACTGTTGTAACATCTGCTCTCATTTATGTTCTAGAAAAGACTGACTCCATTTATCTTTCATATGCATATATTTCAAAGATTGGATTTCATAAATTAAATTGGATGATTAACTATGAAATAAAGATTCGAATAACACTTATATATTGAGTCACTCATGGAGCATATAAATTATTTTTAAAAACTTGCTTATTTATCTCGATAGCTTGCATCTATAGTATTTATAAACATTTTTTGTTTATAAAATTTTTACGCATAACTCGATACCATAAAAATTGAATACCAAAGCGATGAAATTGAGTTAAACTTATTTATTCTTTAGAAATAATAAAATTGTATGGATTTTTCAAATACTTTCAAAGCTATTTTTATTATCATAGCTTTGATGTTATTGAGTTCGAGAGAAAAGCGCAATTTATTGTTTTTGCAGGTGCAAAGATATGCTTTATTAAAGGAGTTAAAAAATGGAAAAATATCTAAAAAATTTCAATGGTACGTAAATATTTAAACAAATAATAAAAAACTTTAAATCAGCAAAAAGCCATAAAACAAGAAACATAAACAATCAATAAAAAGATAACAACGAATTCCGAAGCTCACGCAAAAGTATCTGCAAAAAAATGCCAAATGCCATTATTTGAATGCCATTCCTACGCCCAGTACGCGAAT